GGGTTCAGGCAATTCTCCTGCCTCAGCCTCCTGAGTAGTTGGGATTACAGGCACGCACCACCATGCCCAGCTAATTTTTTGTATTTTTAGTAGAGACGGGGTTTCACCATGTTGACCAGGATGGTCTCGATCTTTTGACCTCGTGATCCACCCGCCTCTGCCTCCCAAAGTGCTGGGATTACAGGCTTGAGCCACCGAGCCCGGCCAAGATCTGTTTTTATGAGAGTGTTTTGAGAAAGTTACCAAAGCTTTAGCAGAAAAATGCCTGGGAAAGCTTCCCCAGATTCCTCCTTAACTATGACAATGCTCCTGCTCATTCTTCTCATCAAGCAAGGGCAATTTTTGTGAGAGTTTTGTTGGGAAATCATTAGGCAACCAATACATTCCTGATTTAGCTTTTTCTGACTTGTTTTTGTTTCCTAATCTTAAAAGTCTAAAGGGCACCCATTTTTTCTTCAGTAACCAATATAAAAAAGACTGCAATAACGTGGTTAACTTCCCAGGACCCTCAGTTCTTTAGGGATGAACTGAATGGCTGGTATCATTGCTTACAAAAGTGTCTTGAACTTGATGCACTCATGTTGAAAATTAAAGTTTATATTTTTATTTTTATCTTTTAATTCGATTTTTTCATAAGCATTTAGAATCCCTTCAGAGATTCCCTAAGCTTTTTTACAAATTTAGGCTGAAACACTTAAAAAAAAAACCTACTAGAAAAGTGAAAATAAGACATGAAGAGACAATTCAAAAAAATATATAGGGTCATTTGTGGTGGTTCATGGCTGTAATCCTAGCACTTTGGGAGGCCGAGGTGGGAGGATCACTTGAGGCCAGAAGTTCAAGACTAACCTGGGGAACATAGTGAGACTCCCACATCTCTAAAAAAATAAAAAAATTAGCTGGGCATGGTGGTGTCCATCTGTAGTCCTAGCTACTTGGGAGGCTAAGGTAGGAGGATTGCTTGAGCCCAGGAGTTTGAGGCTACAGTGAGCTATGACTGCGTCACTGCAATTCGGCCTGGGCAAGACTCTTGTCTCTAAAAAACAAAAAAACATATAAACTGGCCCTTAAACATGCGAAAATCTATTTAACCTCATTTATAAGAGAAATTTTAATCAAAATTATTTGGAGATATCTTTTTACCCATCAGATTGGCAACAATTAAAAAGCTTGACAGTATGCTCTGGCAGAGAAGACTGTGGGACAATGGACATTCTCATCTCTTTGTAGGAATGCAAGATGGTACAACCTATACAAAGGGGAATATTTAACAATAGTTATATTTAACATTTATATTTAACAAAACTGCATATGCCTTTACCCTATGATCCAGAAATCACAATATTAGGTATTTATTATGCATACACACCTCAAAAATTACAAATATATATATATATCAGGTTCTTCATTAGCATTTATTATAATTGCAAAAATATTGGAAACTACTTAAATGACATGTCAAAGATGGGTTGAATAGATTATAATATGTACACATACAATGGAGTTGGGTTTTTTGTTTTTGTTTTTTTTTTTGAGACAGAGTCTTACTCTGTCTCCCAGGCTGGAGTGCAGTAGTGCGATCTAGGCTCACTGCAATCTCCACCTCCTGGGTTCAAGCAATTCTCCTGCCTCACCTCCCAAGTAGCTGGGACTACAGGCATCTGCCACCACCCATGGCTAATTTTTGTATTTTTAGTAGAGACGGGGTTTCACCATGTTGGCCAGGCTGGCCTTAAACTCCTGACCTCAGGTGATCTATCTGCCTCAGACTCCCAAAGTGCTGGGATTACAGGCATGAACCACCACATCCAGCCTTACAATAGAGTTTTATGAAGCTATTTAAAAAATGAAGATTTCTATAAATTTATATAGAATGATTTCCAGGATATATTATTAGTGCAAAAAGCAAAGTGAAAACTTTTCCTTTCAACCATGTGAAACCAGATATGCCACTATAACAACTAGGAAGTGGATCAAAATGTGTGAAAAAAGCTTTTAGACATTGGCTCAAAAGACAGTGCAGGATTCTAATCTGTGAGAGAAGAGAAGCAAATGAGGATATGAAAACTAGGATCTCCAGGTTTTTGCCTGGAGACAACTTTCAGATTGTGGGGCAGGAAAGGGGAAATTCAAGAATCACACCATGGTTTGCTGAGTTGAGAAACAGATATTAGAGTTTGGGAAGATTGAGATAGCCAGAATTTATGGGGCAGAGTACTGGAGAGAATGGAACTACACAAAGAACTCCAGAAATATGAATATGGATCCCCAAGTCTTTGGCTAAATAATAATCCGAGCATGCACAGAGTGCACTGACACTCCTCTGCAGCTGGGCAAAGAACAACTGCCAGGGAGCTATTAGCTGAAGAATTGTTGGTGGTCACACAGGGCTGGGAAATGTTTGAATTCCATTGAGCCATAATAAAGAGATCCTGCTGAACAATTAGATTAATCAAAAAAATCAGAATTAAGTGGTAGGTCTAAACTAGCCCAAGGCAAAAGTTACTATAGACCTGTCCTAACAAAGTTTAAAAAAGTAAAATAAACAAATTAAAAACAAAACCAAACAAACAAAAAAACAAGTCTTAAGGCCAGGTGTGGTGGCTCACACTTGTAATCTAGCACTGTGGTACGCCGAAGTAGGCAGATCACAAGGTCAGGGGTTCAAGACCAGCCTGGCCAACACAGTGAAACCCTGTTTCTACTAAAAATATAAAAATTAGCTGGGTGTGGTGGCCGGCTGTAATCCCAGCTACTTGGGAGGCTAAGGCAGGAGAATCACTTGAACCCAGGAAGGAGAGGTTGCAGTGAGCCAAGATCGCGCCACTGCACTCCAGCCTGGGCTAGACTCTGTCTCAAAAAAACAAAACAAAACAAAAAACAAAAAAAAAAAAAAAACAAGCCTTGAAAAGATCAACCTGATCTGCAAGAAACATAATAGCTTTCCTAAACAAACTGCAATACCTCTTAAAGAAAGACAAAATCCAAACACTCAAAAGTATAACATTTACAATGTCTGCTGTCCAACAAAAACATTAATAGATATGCAAATAAGCAACAAACTGTGATCCCAAACCAGGAAGAAAATCATCCCTAGAAATTACAGAGGTGACAAAATTAGCAGATAAGGACTTTGAAACCTCCATTATAAAAAAATTAAAGAACGGCCGGGCGCGGTGGCTCAAGCCTGTAATCCCAGCACTTTGGGAGGCCGAGGCGGGTGGATCACGAGGTCAAGAGATCGAGACCATCCTGGTCAACATGGTGAAACCCCGTCTCTACTAAAACTATAAAAAATTAGCTGGGCATGGTGGCACGTGCCTGTAATCCCAGCTACTCAGGAGGCTGAGGCAGGAGAACTGCCTGAACCCAGGAGGCGGAGGTTGCGGTGAGCCGAGATCGCGCCATTGCACTCCAGCCTGGGTAACATGAGCGAAACTCCGTCTCAAAAAAAAAAAAAAAAAAAAAAAATTAAAGAAAAATGTAAATCTTTACTTTTTCATTAAATCAAAAATTTAAAGAAAAATATGAAGATACTGAGGAGAGAAATGAAAGAGTCAAATGAAACTTCTAGAAGTGAAAAATACAATATATGAAATGGAAACGTCACTGAATGGGATTAGCAATACAGTAAACACTGAAGAAGAAAAGATCACTGAACAACACTGTTACTAATTTGATCTAGTTCACAATTATAGGATACAACAAAAACCACTAGTAGCAGAATACAGTTTTCAGAGTTACACAGTTGTGTAAGCAATACTCACCAAGATAGATCATATTCTGTGCCATAAAAGAAATGTTAATGGGCTGGGCGCGGTGGCTCATGCCTGTAATCCCAGCACTTTGGGAGGTTGAGGCAAGTGGATTGGTTGAGGCCAGGAGCTGGAGATTAGCCTGGTCCAACATGGTGAAACCCTGTCTCTACTAACAATACAAAAATTAGCCAGATGTCATGGCGGGTGCCTATAATCCCAGCTACTCTGGAGGCTGAGGCAGGAGAATCACTTGAACCCGGGAGTTGGAGGTTGCAGTGAGCTGAGATTTCACCACTGTAATCCAGCCTGAGCAACAGAGTGAGACTCCGTCTCAAAAAAAAAGAAAGAAAACATATAATATATATTTTTGGATCACAATACAATTAAATTAGGAATCAGTGACAAATATATCTTTGGGTAATATTTACAGATTTGGTGACTAAACAATACATTTTAGGCCAGGCGCAGTGGCTCAAGCTTGTAATCCCTAACCTTTGGGAGACCGAGGCAGGTGGATCACCTGAGGTCAGGAGTTTGAGACCAGCCTGGCCAACATGATGAAACCCTGCCTCTACTAAAAATAGAAAAAATTTGGGCCAGGGTGCAGTGGCTCACGCCTGTAATCCCAGCGCTTTGGGAGGCTGAGGCCGACAGATCACCTGAGATTGGGAGACCGAGACCAGCCTGAACAACATAGAGAAACCTCTTCTCTACTAAAAATAGAAAATTAGGCGGGTGTGGTGATGCATGCCTGTAATCCCAGCTACTCGGGAAGCTGAGGCAGGAAAATTGCTTGAACCCTGGGAGGTAGTGGTTGCAGTGAGCCGAGATCATTCCATTGCACTCCAGCCTGAGCAACAAGAGCGAGCGAAACTCCATCTCCCAAATAAATAAATAAATAAATATTAGCCCAGTATGGTGGCATTCACCTGTAATGCCAGCTACTCCAGAGGCTGAGGCAGGAGAATCACTTGAACCTGAGAGCCAGGATCATGTCACTGTACTCCAGCCTGGGCAACAAAAGTGAAACTCTCTCAAAAAAAAAAAAAAAAGAAAAAAATGCACTTTAAAATAATCCATGGGTCAAAGAAGAAATCGCAAGGTGTATTAGAAAATACTTTGAATTAAATTATAATGGAAATATAACATCCAAAATATTATCATTGCAAACTACACATCTGACAAAGGACTGATATCCAGAATCTACAAGGAACTCAAACAAATCACCAAGAAAAATAAAACACAATCCCATTAAAAAGTGGGCAAAAGACATGAATAGACATTTCTCAAAAGAAGATATACAAATGGCCCACAACATATGAAAAAATGCTCAACATCACTAATCATCAGGGAAATGCAAATTAAAACCACAATAAGATACCACTTTGCTCATGTAAAAATGGTTAATATTAAAAAGTCAAAAAATAAGAGATGTGGCATGGATGTGGGGAAAAGAGAACACTTATACACTGCCGGTGAGAGTGTAAATTAGTACAACCTCTATGGAAAACAGTATAGAGATTCCTTAAAGAGCTAAAAGTAGATCTATCACTCAATCCAGCAAGCCCACTACTGGGTATCTACCCAAAGGAAAAGAAGCAATTATATGAAAAAGACACTTGGACACATATGTTTATAGCAGCACAATTCACAATTGCAAAGATGTGAAACCAACCTAAGTGCCCATTGACTAATGAGTTGATAAAGAAAATGTGGGGGATATATATATGTATGTATACACTATGGAATACTACTCAGCCATGAAAAGGAATGAAATAGTGTCCTTTGCAGCAACTTGAATTGAACTGGAGCCATTACTTTAAGTGTGTGTATATATGTATACATACATATATATACTTCATGTGTATATGTGTATACATACATATACAATATGTATATGTACACACATATATATAATGTGTGTATATAAAGTTACAACAATAGTTTATTCATTCAACTGTCGGTGGATATACAGATGTGTAACTGTGTTTACACATATGTAACTGTCATCTGTATCTATATCTAGCTACCTAACACAGAGCCCAGAAGAAACCCACACATACATATGTACATGGCCAGATAATTTTTTATTAAGGTGCCAAGATTATTTAGTGGGGAAAGGATAGCCTTCTCAGCACATTCTTCCAAAGAGACAATTGGATATTCCTTCAGAAAAATATGAATCTTCATTGTTACCTCACACCATACACCATATATAAACATCAACTCAAAAAGATTCATAGACCAAATTACAAATGGTAAAACTATAAAACTTCTAGAAGAAAATATAGAAGAAAATCATCATAAGTTTTCGTAGGCAAAGAGTTTTTGAATAGGACTTAAGAAATACAAACTATAAAAGAAAAAAATAGATTGGGCCTTATCAAAATTACAGATTCTGCTGTTCAAAAGACACAACTAAGAAAGTGAAAAGACAAGTCACAGTCTGGGATAAAATATCCACAAAATATGTATGTGACAAAGAGCTTACATTAAGAATATATTTTGCCGGGCGCGGTGGCTCAAGCCTGTAATCCCAGCACTTTGGGAGGCCAAGGCGGGTGGATCATAAGGTCAAGAGATCGAGACCATCCTGGTCAACATGGTGAAACCCCGTCTCTACTAAAACTACAAAAAATTAGCTGGTCATGGTGGCGCGTGCCTGTAGTCCCAGCTACTCAGGAGGCTGAGGCAGGAGAACTGCCTGAACCCAGGAGGCAGAGGTTGCGGTGAGCCGAGATCGCGCCATTGCACTCCAGCCTGGGTAACAAGAGCGAAACTCTGTCTCAAAAAAATAAATAAATAAAATAAAAAAATAAAAAGAATATATTTTAAAACTCCCATAGCTCAATTTTAAGAAGACATTCAACTCAGTTAAAGATGAACAAAACATAGGAGCAAATACTTCAAGAAGATATACAAATAGACAATAAACACACGAAAAGATGCTCAGCATCTCTAGTCAACCGGGAAAAACAGTTGAAACCTCAATGAGATAGTATTACACACCCACTAGAATTGCTAAAATCTGAAAAATTGACATAGGAAGCACTGGTGAGAAAATGTAGCAAGTGGAACTCTTTATACATTGCTGATGAAAATGTAAAGTGATATTAGCACTTTGAAAAATAGTTTAGCAGCTTCTTATAAAGTTAAGCATATACTTCCCATTTCATATGACCCCAAAGCAATTGTTTTTGAGTATTTATCCAAGAGAAATTTAAAAAATAATATGCCTACAAAAATTAAAAAAAAATGCCTACAAAAATACTTGCACATGGTTGTTCATATCACTTTGATTCAGAATAGCACCAAACTGGACACAACTCAAATGTCCACCAACAGTTAACTGAATAAACAAATTGTGATATAGCTACACAATACAATACTGCTCAGCAATCAAATGGTACACACTGCTGATACACATAGCAGCATGAATGAATTTCAAGAACTTTTGAGCAAAAGAAGACAGATACAAAAGAGTATATGTTATAGGATTCCATTTAGATTAAATTCTGGAAGAGGCAAAACTAATTTGTAGTGACGGGAAGTAGATCAGTTATTGCCTGGAGCTAGAGAACTAGTGAATTGATTGGAAAGGGGCATGAGGGAACTTTTGAAGGTTATAGAAATGTTCTACATTTTGATGGCATAGTGGTTACACAGATGTAAACATTTGTCAAAATTCATTGTACTGTATAATTTTAAGAAGTAAATTTTATGGTATATAAATTATACTTCAGTACAGCTGGTAAGGCTGGATGTGGTGGCTCATGCTTGTAATCCCAACACTTTGGGAGGGTGAGACAGAAGGACTGCTTGAGGCCATGAGTTTTGAGACCAACCTGAGTAACCTAGTGAGACCCCCATCTCCACAAAAAAATAGAAAAAATTAGCTACCCATGGTGTACATGCCTGTAGTCCCAGCTACTTGGAAGGCTGAGGTGAGAGGATCACTTAAGCCTAGGAGGTCGAGGCTGCAGTGAGATCTGATCACACCACTGCACTCCAGCCTGAGTGACACAGCAAGACTGTCTCAAAAACCAAAACCAATAGCTGGGCATGGTGGTGCACGCCTGTAATCTCAGCTACTCGGGAGGCTGAGGCAGGAAAATTGCTCGGACCCGGGAGGTGGAGGTTGCAGTGAGCCAGGTCGCACCACTGTATTCCAGCCTGGGCGACAGAGTGAGACTTCATCTCCAAACAAACAAAATAAAGCTGATAAGTTTTAAAAAGCGAAGTGTGAAAGAGTACGTACAGGCAGTCCTCGCTTTGGGCGGTTGTACAGGACCTTAAAAATTGCTAATGCAGGGGACCTCCTCTTTTGGCGTTGGAGCCCCCCTCACTCTGTCTCTGTCCCAGGGAGCTTCTTCTGTATTCTCCCCTCCTTCTTGCTTATTAAACTCTCCACTCCTTAAAACCACTCCACGTGTGGCTCTGTCATTTTATCTAAATCAGCATGAGGACCAAGAACCCTGATGTTCCTCTACTCATCGGAGCAGTATCATTTTTGTGCATGGGCCGGGAAAGGAAATTCAGTCATCAGACTGAGTCAAGGAAACTTATTTTAAAGTATTTTCGGCCTTTAATAATTAAGTAAGGTAGGCCGTGCACTGTGGCTCATGCCTGTAATTCCAGCATTTTGGGAGGCCAAGGCAGGTAGATCACCTGAAGTCAGGAGTTTGAGACCAGCCTAACATGGTGAAACCCTGTTTCTACTAAAAATACAAAAAATTAGCTGGGCGTGGTGGCGTGTGCCAGTAATCTCAGTTAGTCGGGAGGCTGAGGCAGGAGAATCACTTGAACCCAGGAGGCGGTGGTTGCAGTGAGCTGAGATGGTGCCACTGCACTCCAGCTTGGGCAGAAAATTCCATCTCAAAATAATAATAATAATAATAATTAAGTAAGGTATACCACTGTGAACAAAATTTGGAGCCTGTTCATTTTTCTCTGCCTGGTTCCTATGAAATTTGGAGACTATCTGTAAGAATTCATAACTTATGGAAATGCAGTAGTTTGCCTCAGTACAATAAGAATCCATTTTTCTTTGTCAGCAGAACACAAGTGGCAAAACTGATGATTTTACCAAGGCTTTAACTGAAAGAGTATGTTTCCCTTTAAGGAATCAAGCTTGATATGCAGAGCCAATAAAAGCCCCTTGGAGAGAATTGGCCTTATACCTTGTCTACACAGTCCCTGCACAGTGTTCCTAACCTGTAGTCAGTAAAGAATGTCACTTTCTAACGGGTCTGGAAGCTCTGAGTTTATCTTGGGATCTCAAGAGCAGAGGATGAACCAACTTACAGGTATTAGAGGATACAAACCCATGGCTGGGCTTGGCTTTTAAAAAAAGTGTTATCTGAAATTCCTTGTGGAAGAGTTTCATCAAAGTCAATCCAAAAGGCCTGTGTAGAAATAACCATTCTTGCTGCACTTCATGCAAATAATCAGGCCAAGTGTAAGACTAAAGTTCATTCATAACTAGTTTTTACCAAAAATGAGGACTGGAGAGAAAAATTTTGTTCCAAAGCTTATCATACATGTGTCATTAAATCCTAGTCTCATTCATTGTTTTTAAGCTTTTTAACCTACATTTTAGACTAACCCTGCTTATGCCTGTGAATTAAGTGGTGATCTTCTGCAGCTTGGAAAAAAAAAAAAAAAACGGATGGGTAACATAAAAAGGTGAATCAATATGCTAGTTCTGGGCAATTATCTTGCAAATTCTGCCAGGTAATGAAAGTAAATAAGGTGCTCATAATCTGGAGGTTTCTTTGTTTGGGAAAATAAAATCAAGGAACTTCATATACCCTCAAAGGGGAGTTCTGTATCTTGGCAAGTAAAATTTTAGGTGGAAATTACCTGCCACACCACACTTGTGGAAACTGCTGTCCTCATTCTACTGTCTGCAGTAGGGTTATACATGGTAGCACCTTCTAACTGAAATATTGGACCGAGTTTCCGTTGCTGTGGTATTTTGCTTAAGTAGTATCCTTACAGCAGGGATAATAGTTACTGACAAAAGGGAAGCATGAAAGTTTTAATATCACTGAGTCAGCTAGGACTTTTTATTGGGTTTAGTAATGCAGTTTTATTTATTTATTTAATTTTATTTTGAGACAGAGTCTTGCTCTGTTGCCCAGGCTGGAGTGCAGTGGCACAATCTCAGTTCACCTCCTGGGTTCAAGAGATTCTCCTGCCTCAGCCTCCAGAGTAGCCGGGACTACAGGCTACAGGCACATGCCACCACGTCCAGCTAATGGTTTTTTTTGTTGTTGTTTGTTTGTTTGTGTTGAGACGGAGTCTAGCTCTGTCGTCCAGGCTGGAGTGCAGTGGCATAATCTTGGCTCACTGCAACCTCCACCTCTTGGGTTCAAGCGATTCTCCTGCCTCAGCCTCCTGAGTAGCTGGGATTACAGGCTCCTGCCGTCACCCCCAGCTAATTTTTGTATTTTTTTTTTTTTTTCAGTAGAGACAGGGTTTCACTGTGTTGGCCAGGCTGGTCTATAACTCCTGACCTCGTGATCTGCCCACCTCAGCCTCCCAGAGTGTTGGGATTACAAACGTGAGCCACTGCGCAGGTGGCCAGTTTTTTGTATTTTTAATAGAGCCGGGGTTTCATCATGTTAGGCGGTATGGTTTTGATCTCCTGACCTCGTGATTGCCAGCCTCAGCCTCCCATAGTGCTGGGATTATAGGCGCGAGCCACCCACCATGCCTGGCTAGTTTCAGCTTTAATGGAAACATGCTGCTTTTGGATTAACATCTCTAGTAGAGTAAAATCTACAGGTACTTAAAAATCAAATTAAAATTATTGACAGGCTCAAGGAAAATGCCAGCTTCAGCTTCGAGTGGCTACAATTCTTTTTTAAATAAATTCCAGTCTTCTTTATGGAATTGGTTAACCCCTTTATTAAGCACTCTGTTGCTTATATGTCTTGTATTGATATTTGGACCCTGTATACTCAATACTATAACTTGAATTGTTTATTCTCGACTAGAAGCAATCCAACTCCAAAAATGGTGCGGTAGCCTGAACCACACATGGACACCCATTCTTCCGAGGACCCTTAGATCGACCCCAGGAGGAGCCCTAGGTGCTGTTCCCCCGTTCGCTGCCCCTTTTCAGCAGGAAGTAGTCAGAAAAAGTCATTGCCCAAAACCCCCTAACAGTCGTTAGTGTGATATCGCCAGAGGGAGGAATGTGGTAGAAGTTATTAAGAAATTATTTTAGGCAGATAGGAAAAGAAGTCCTTGGGAAGTTTTCATTTTTAAAAACACCTCCGGAAAGGTTTCTTGTAAAGCCTCAGCTCTTAGAGCCAGGCCAGTAACCTTTGATATGCAAATGCAGGCCATTAGAAACTGGATCCATTCAACATGGTGATTCCCCCAGCCTTCTAGCCCTTGCCCCACATGTTCGGCAACATGGCCGCCTCACATATCTCTACATGTGTACAACATCCTTGACGCCCTACGCTTGCATATTAAAAGGCTAGGGTGGGAGGGCCAGCATTCTCTCAAGCTATGTGAATCACATCTGGTCAAACCGATCTCCTGAGCCCTATGCACATAAGACATCATGTCCTACAGCTGGTATCCAAGGTAGGTGGGGACCTCCGCTTTCAGCTTTGGAGCCACCCTCCCTCCGTCTCTGTACTGGGGAGCTCCTTCCTTCTGTCTTCTCCCTTCCTTCTTGCCTATTAAGTTCGTCCCTCCTTAAAACTACACATACACACACACACACACACACATTGCTAATGTAAGATGAAACTATGTAAAGTGATCTTAATAATCAATGGGAAAAAATGATTGTTCTATGACCTTCAAAATTTTTTGTTAAAACATAAAAACTCTTTATTGATTGTAAATTTATAGGAAACTAAAAATATAATAAAACTAATATTTAGTTATTTATTTATATTTATTTATTTGTTTATTTTTGAGATGGAAGTTTCACTCTTGTTGCCCAGGCTGGAGTGCAATGGTATGATCTCAGCTCACTGCAACCTCTGCCTCCAGGGTTCAAGTGATTCTCCTGCCTCAGCCTCCTGAGTAGCTGGGATTACAGGCATGCACCACTATACTCGGCTAATTTTGTATTTTTAGTAGAGACAAGGTTTCTCCATGTTGGTCACGCTGGTCTCGAACTCCTGACCTCAGGTAATTCTCCTGCCTCAGGCTCTCAAAGTGCCAGGATTACAGGCATGAAACACCACGCCTAGCCTAAAACTACTATTTATTTACTACAGTGTAATTTAAAGCATTAGAACATGCAGATATATTTTCTTGTAAAAAATATATCAAGAAGCATTTGGCCTCTTTTCATCCTATAACTTATAATATGGAATAAGCACCTTTTCTTCATCTTGACAAATTGCCACATTCCTTTCTAAGTTTGGATCAACTTCCAACATTTTATTTATTCTTGGAGGTTTCAATGTTGTGAATTATCTGAGAGTTCCTTTAAAGTGAGTTTTTGCTGGCATTACTTTCTCTGGGACATCTTCATGTTTTTCATCACATATACTTTTCTCATTCATGTCAATAAGTTCACCTTCACTAAGCGCCTCTGGCTGCCCATTTAGAGATTCCTGAAAGTAGCAGTGTAAACATTCCCACGGCCAGCTATTTCTTCTATAACTCCATTTATGTTCAATTCAAATTTCACTGAAAACATTATCACTTTTGTTTCTTTGCTGCACTTTTATCTTTTTTGGCCTATTCTTGATACATTTTTGTAAAATGTTATGTGGGTTTATCACTGGGAGGCAACACGACTACATGCTTTGCTGTCTGTGCATGAACTAAATAATAGGCACACAGTGACTAATCACTGACATACTTTGAAAGAAGTCATGTGATTGGTCACATTATTTTGCCCATTTGGTATTTTCTTTCTTTCTTTTTTATTTTTATTTTTTTGAGACAGTTTTGCTCTTGTTGCCTGGGCTGGAGTGCAATGGCACAATCTTGGCTCACCACAGCCTCTGCCTCCCATGTTCCCATGTTCAAGCAATTCTCCTGCCTCAGCCTCCCAAGTAGATGGGATTACAGACATGCACCACCATGCCCAGCCAATTTTGTATTTTTAATAGAGACAGGGTTTCTCCATGCTGCTCAGGCTGGTCTCAAACTCCTGACCTCAGGTGATCTACCCACCTCAGTCTTCCAAAGTGCTGGGATTACAGGCATGAGCCACTGTGCCCAGCCTTATCTGTTATTTTCAAAGTGATCTGTGGACTGAAGGGCTAGCACCCAAGTTTGTCCTTTATGCAACTACTCAAAGTTAATATGCCATGGTAACTAAAATTTGAATTACTTTTAGGAGACTCATGTTATTTAAGCTGTAGTAAGAAATATTTTTATATTTAAATTGTTTAAAGCCAGCACTATCTGCATAGTATGTTACCTTTTGTGTAAGAAAGAAGAGGACTTAAGAATATATAAATATATGTAGGTTTTGTTTTTGTGTTTTGCAAAAAGAAACACAGGGAGAATAAACCACAAACAAATGAAATTGATTATCTACAGAGTGTGGTGTGAATGAGGCAGAAGGTGAAGAGGAGGAGTGACAGTTTTCTGAGTACACTTTTTTTTTCATAGTTTTGACTTTATGTTAATGCTTTACATATCCAAAAAAGAATACTAGGCTAAGTGTGGTGGCTTATGCCTGTAATCCCAGCACTTTGGGAGGCTAAGTCAGGAGGATCACTTGAGCCCAGGAGTTCAGGACCAGCCTGGGGCAACACAGTGAGACCCCATCTCTAAAAAAAAAGGAAAATTAAAAAATTAGGCAGGCATGGTGGTGTGCACTTGTAACCCCAGCTATTTGGAAAGCTGAGGTAGGAGGATCGCTTAAGTGCAAGAGGTTGAGGCTGCAGTGAGTTGTGACTGTACCACTGCACTCCCGCCTGGGTGACACAGTGAGACCCTGTCTCAAAAACAAAACAAAACAAAAAATCAACAGAAAGTTTACTAATCAATCGGAGTATGGCAAAACTCTAAAACTGCACATAAGAGAAACACACTTTAATGAATCAAGTAGCTATACTACAAGTTACTTTTCAAGACAGTGCTTTGACAATATACCTTCAGTTTAAAGACAACCAATTGTAAGCAAATCTTGCACTCTATTGGTTTGTTTTTCTCATTGATGTTGTTATTACGATTCTGAAACTACTTTCTGTGTATTTTAGGATGGAGCAAATGAGTAAATATATATAGCATTGGCAGCCAGGATTCTTAATGTTGGAAAATAAAAATACAGAGATGGAAGGGGGAAGGCTAAGAAGAACCAGGACTGGAGGTATCAACATGAACTTATGATTATGAGGGAGTGTGTGTACAATATAGATATGGGTGTATTTGTGTGTGTTTTTCCTAGGTGTGTCTGCTGACAAGGCCTAGAAACAGTGATAGCCCAATAGCAGTGAGCATACCTCTCACTCAGATCTTAGTTTCTAAATACTATTCCCTACCAAAAAGAAGCAAGGCTTTTGGACAAATGGTTCATCTCAGAACCGGAGCAAGGAAAGTATGAGTCTCTAGTATCTTCTTTTATTAGAAAGTAAGAAAGCGTTCAAGAAAATGAGAGAGGTATGGCAGGAAGACACAAGAACCAGCTCGAAGAGGTTCTTATTGGTAACATCTACAACAATTTGAGGCCAAAATTAAAAATGGCAGTAATGGAATATAACTCATTGCAAAAAACATATGAGCCATACATAAATAAATAAGAAAAGAAAGTTCTTTCTTACTGTAAAATGCCAACTAATAAAAGAATCATTTGAACCTGGGAGGCAGAGGTTGCAGTGAGCCAGGATTGCACCGCTACACCCCAGCCGGGGAGAAAAAGAAAAAAACTGTCTCAAAAAAAAAAAAAAAAAAAGGACATGGCAACTAAATGCAATGTGTGATATTTTAGACTAAAAAAATTACTGTAAGGATATAGTAAAATATACTATAAGGTATGGTAAAATTTAAATATAGATTATAGGCTAAATAATTACATTGTATCGATGTTAAATTTTCTGATTTTTATTATTGAAATTTAATTATATAAAAGAATGAGGCCGGGCGCGGTGGCTCAAGCCTGTAATCCCAGCACTTTGGGAGGCCGAGGCGGGTGGATCACGAGGTCAAGAGATCGAGACCATCC